TGTGACTCCCCATCCTTATACGGTCACATGCAGCCCTGGCACAGACACAGAGAGCCCAGTCGGGGAAAACATGCTCATTTAGAGCTTACATAAACACACCGACCCACAGCCCAGCTCCCAGCTCCCCCCTCCTCCCTCCTCACAGCCCCGACCAGGGAAGAGGAAGGGAAGGAAAAGGAGAAGAACGCTGTGGAATTTGAAAGGGAGTGCGTTGATAAATTCCTGAGCTTTTTCGTTCACGGAGAGACTCTGGATATCCTGTAACGTCAGGAAATGCAGTGCTGGCAGTTTAGCAGTGATTCTGCCTGCAGGCAGAGGTTTGGATGGGTGGGTGCTGGGACATACTTTATTTGGAAAAGTCTTACAAAGCGTTTAAGGAAATCAGACTTGTGAGGCAACTCAAGTTCCGAAATGCCTGATACGTCACGGACCCACCTGACGTCAGTGACCTCCAGGAAAACATATAAACCGAACAAACCAATTAATCTTCTATGCTCTAATGACAACATCATGACCCGTGTCCTAAAACTGTCTTCTCACTTCTGTCTACACAGTGCAGTATGTTAGTCAGCTGTGTGAGATATAACCCAAGATGAGCCATGCAATTATTAGAAGATAATTATCGTTATTAGCCCTCATTTAACTCATACATTTTCATAACTGCAAGGGTCATAGTGGATTATGGCATTTAAACCATGGCCCAGCTTTTAGTATGACTTTAGTTGTGATGAATCTGCATAGTTCCTTGACAATAATGCTCTTCCACTGGCCAAGAAGAAATGAGTGTATTTATGCTCTGCAAAGCACTTTCTGACAGACAGTGTTCTCTTCGACCCAGGGGACAACTATGATGTTTGTGCCATCTGCCTGGACGAATACGAAGAAGGAGACAAACTCCGAGTCCTACCATGTTCTCATGGTGAGTCGAACACTTGTGACCCTTCCTCGAGGTCCTGACACATCAAGCCAAAGAACTACAAGTTACACTGACAAAGACCACAGGGACATTTCTTCCACAATTCTTCTTCGGTCATTGTATTGAAATCATTCTTGTTATTGCTTTATTTAGTATATAACAAAGACCCAGAATTATCTTTTTCTTATACCGTATAAACCTATTCTTGATGAGTTAGAAGCACATCAAGAGGTCTCAAGAGAAACGTCAACATTGCGTATGTTCTCTGTGACCGACAAGCTGGTTGAGTAACTCACCTGTCAGTTTGTTATACTATTAGGTGATTGTGGTCCCAGTCCATAGTGTTCTTGTCTGATGCCGTTTAAAACTGAGTGATTCAGTCCTCTAGACCAAAAAATAATCTGTGATGTTGCCTTTTACTCCATACTTGTGAAGTTCAAGGCAACATTAAAGGTAGAGCTGCAATCATTAATTTTTTTTCATTTTACATTTTATTTGCAGATTATTTTCTTGATTGACTAATATTTGGTCAGTAAAATGACAGAAAATGTGAATGATGCCCAATCTGAAGTTCAGAACAAAGAGATATTCAATCTTGTATCACATCAGACAAAGAGAAGCAGTCAATCCACAGGTACGAAGCTGGATCGAGGGATTTTTTTGCTATTTTAGCTTAAAAAATTACGCACCATAAATTGACTATCAAAATAATTACCTTTTGATTTAGTGGCAACTGACTAATTGATTGAGCTCTAATCCTGAGGTCTGTGGGGGAATGTTAAAATAAGGCCTTATATTGCTCTTCGATCAGGAACAATAACCTGTCCTTGTTGTCCTCAGCCTACCACAGTAAGTGTGTGGACCCCTGGTTGACCAAAACTAAGAAGACATGTCCGGTGTGTAAGCAGAAGGTGGTCCCCTCGCAGGGCGACTCTGACTCAGATTCAGAGGAAGGGGACAGTGGCCCAGACGAGAACGAGGAGGTGTCTGAGAGCACCCCGCTGCTGCGCTCTCTGGCCTCCACCAGCGCCCACTCCTTCGGTACCATGTCAGGAGCGTCGCGCTCAGAGCAAGACCAGGAGTCCTCCGAGTACGAAGACGACGAGCTGGACAGCAGCGACAGCGAGGAAGAGGTCACCGTGGAGACTGTGGTGGTGCAGATGCAGCAGCCCTGCTCTGAAGGCCTGGAGCACGACCTACCCCGAGCTTGACTGATTGTTGGCTGGCTGATTGGCCACTAAACCGCCTCCCCCACCCCACCCCCAACCTCACAGCTTCAGAGACTTTTGTTGGGGGGCACAAAATGGATTCATCATCTGAGTTCTTCTGTTACTGCTTAAAATACATTGTAATGTATCCTCCCTACAAGTTAAAATACAAATCTAAGTTTTCTTTTTAACATGATTATGGATAAAGTGCTGGTTTCCACATATGTGACAGGAAGTCAGTGAGCATATCACAAGGGCTGCTTGACTTGACAGGACTGATGACACTGATGTACAGTAAACTGTTATACTGTACTCTGTTTAGTCATAAAAAAAAGATGATACACAGATGTTTTTTTTCTGTTTTAGTCACAAGTGAAAAAGTCCCAATCGCGCTTTACACAAAGTTCAGCAAAAGTACTGTGTATATATAAAATATAGATCACATTAAGTTACATATTTACCTTTGATTATGTCCTATCTTATATGTTTCAGATGACTTGGAAGGTTTATTATTGTACATACATATTCATGCTAAACTGTCACACCCAGAAGCGCTATGCAGCATCCTTTTTGTAAAACTAACATTCAGCAAGTATAGAAACATTTAAAGCCACAGCAAAATGGTTTTGCCAGTTTATTTCTAGCCTGATGTGTGAAGGAGTCTCACTGCTTCTGTCTGTGTTTTTTGCCACAGTTTGTCTGTTACGGTGATTTACATTAAGAGAAACTGAAGCCAAACCAGACTGAGAAACACATTCAATGCAAAGAGTGTGCTCTCCATGTGACGTCGCAGTATGCCGTGGGTTACACCGGTTCAAAGTGTGAAGAGACACTTCTGTATCCACGCTGTCTGTGGTAAACTTCTTCTGGCTGCTCCAGACCTATCACTTCCTTTAACACAAGCAGTTACTGGTTGATAGGCCTTGTGATACACATTTAATTGACTTTATCTCATTTTAATACTGTTTATAGTAAATACTAAATACACTAATGTTTTTTTTTTTCATAACATGGTTTGATTTTTGTTGACAAATCCTGTTGCCTTTTTCAGTTGATGTATTTTGTCTTGTCAGTGTTTTCCTGCTCATGTATGTCTGTTCTCAATATGAATTCACTTCAATAAAATGAAAATGACACTTGACCAGGAAACTTTCCACCATCAGTTTCATAATTGTGAATATATGTAATCCAACTTCCATCCTCCCTCAATCTCAGGCCTGTTGTGTGTACATAAACAACAAAACAGCTCCAATGTGTTCAACTGGAGGAAAAACACAGAGGGTCCAGTTAACCTGTAATGAGTAGTAGTCCAGTTGACCTTATTATCTGATACAGCTCAGCCTGTATAAGTTTGGCATGGCTCATTGAACAAATGGAAATTATGGGACCTCTACACTACTCCACAAATATCACTAATTTCTCAGATAAACAGTTTAATTTGACCTCTATACACAAAATGAGGGTTTCCAGGGGTAAGTGAGCAATGGTGGAATGTAATTAACTACATTTACTCAAGTACTGCACTTTTGATCCTGGTTGTGATCCTTTAGAAAAAAAAAACCAGGTGGTGGTGTTGTTCCACCTGACATTTTCCAATTAAACTTCTCTCATGGTTCTTTTTATTATTAATTTGAGGCCCAAATAATCCAATATTTTACAATTATTAGGATTAAAAGCCTGAAATATGAATCCAGGATGTGTTTTTCTTCTTTTCCACTAATAATCTGTCGTGCCTAAGATTTAACATTGTAACCATTTGGAGGTGCCGGGCCTGCATGTTGGGAATCACTACACTGAAACTACATAAGAGTATGTAAAGTAGTTAAAACTAGCTCAAGCACCTTCAACAATAAAATGCTGCTTACATATCGATGCATCAGTGATAGTGTAATTTATAATATAACCCTCCTGAACAATTACTTCTACCTTTGATCCTTTCAACTGCTTTAGATGTAATATTTATGCACTTTTACTTGAGTAGGTAGATTTTAAAAGCACTTAAACTTGTAATGGAGTGCTTTTACTTAAGTAAGGGATCTCGATCTTGGTCACCAGTTGATTTCAAGGCCAAGAATGAACCTTGATCTCAATTATAAACTTAAGGGGCTCAAAAACAGAATATGAGTTGTTTGTTATTTAGACTACCTTTGTTGATACAAATAGCGTGGACAACATAATAGAAACACCTACCAGTATGACGCAGTACAATTCAACACAGCCTCCAAAATGATCACACAGGGGAATTAACTTTCTCAAACAGTTTCAACACAAACTGAACGTTATATGCTTCATGAAGGGAGGAGTTAGTGCAGGACTGTTGTATTACACCATTAGTTTTATCCGCATGTTCAAAACTGGCAACAGCTCCGATCTAGCTACTAAAACTGACCTGGAGGTGAGACCGTTTCGACAGCTGTTTCCAAGGTGTTAATGAGCTTTGAAACTCGCGCATTTTATAGTTGGAACAATGAACAACACACTGTGCTGATGACTGAAACAAGCCACAACTGGCCATTTCACTTTCTCGTGAAGCAGGAGTATCGAGAATTCAGATGGTTTTAAGTATTACTCTGCAAAGACATGCCTACTTTTTAGGAAAACTTCTGGAATTTGTAGCACTTTGCATTAATTCAACATTAGGCCTAAACACACGATAAAACCTTTTCCCCTTGGGACAAACTAGCTGCTTCCATTCACATCCGTTTTTCCCGTGTTAAGCTTTGGCTGCAACTTTATGTTTAACAGACACATGAAAGTGGTATTGATTTTCTCAGTGGACTCTCTAAAAAGAAGCGAATGACCATATTTCCTTAAATGTTGGGCATTTCCTTAAAAGAGGCAGTTTTCAAAGTGAAAGAAAAGGACAAACTCTTATCTGGTTGGAATAAATTTATTTGATCTGTCTGTAAACAAGGTGATAAATCAATTTATGGCATTTCTTGGTTTTATGCATATGAAATCAGATGCATTAAAGAGACTGTATCCCAGATGTAAGAAAAAAAAAGTGGTGAGGAAAAAGGAAATGAACATAAATCAGCAAACAGGACTTGAAACAGGTTTTTTTTTTTGTTTTTTTTTTTTTTAATGAGTACACATATCCCACAAGGCCTAAACAGTGGAGCTGAAGCTAAAGAAGAAAAAAAAAAAAAAAAAGAAAGAAAAAAGAAAGTGCCAATGAAATGACTCCTTAGTGGACAGTGGGTAAAATCCATCTTACAACAGCAACAGATCTCTCTACATTATGGCACAGGATACACAGGTTCTGCAGTTAAGTTTCGACAAGACAACCATAAGCGTCTTTGTTCCAACCAATCCCATCTCCCATTGAGTGTCATTTCTACTTTTGAAAGTTTTTTTTTTTTTCTTCAGTTGGACGTTAGTTAGCAGTACTGACCGTGGACAGACCGTGTGATACCCCAGAGCTCAGTTGACTATAAAGTAAAAGGCAATTTATTCCACAGTTTTGTAGTTGTCAACACAGCATGGGTTTGTACAAATGCAGTTGTTTATTTTCTAAACAAAGAAGAAAGTGAAATGAGAATTTTCTTCAGATACTCCCACCCTTACCTTCCCTGTAGCTTCATATTTTTTTTAACCATAGTATGTATTTCTGTCTGGTTAGCATTTCCTTTATCAGAAAAAAAAAGTTAGCAGTCATCCATCACATGATTTAGAGCAATTGTATAAACACCCGAGCTTCGACTACACTTGGTCCTATAAAAAGAAAAAAATTCAAACTGGACATACTCCAGATGGTTATATGCTGGGATATCTACTGTCCAAAAATGGCAGCCTTTCAAAAACGAAAAAAAAAAAAAATATTACAGGAGCTGGCAAACAAAAACAGTTTTAAGTGCCTGAGCCATTGTTACTGTGGAATGTCCATGGGTTTTCGTGTAGTCGGGGAGGTTGTGATGATGGGAGGAGAGGCTACCAGCATCTGGACGACACCAACACTCGCAAATCCGATTCATGATCGTTAACTGAGCTGATCCAAGCACCCCCACACACATGCCACCCCCCCCCCGTGTATAAAATATGTCCAGGACAGTGCAGTGCATCTCAAGGGAGAGGGGAGTTAGAGAACTAGTTGGGTGGTGAAGATGAGTCTCCTGTGAGGTTTGTAGTGTCACCTGCTTTGAGCAAACAGGATGGGGAAACAGGGAAAGGGGAGGAACAGAAAATTTTGGCAGGAGTGTGGAGAGGAAGAAGGAGGTTGGGGTGGGGGGTTGCTTGCGTGGTGGGTATGATGGGGAAACAACAGTGGATCGAGATATGCACGGAGTCTCCCCTCCCGGACATGATGGAGAAAATAAAAGGAAGACATGACGAGCTTGGTTACCGCTCAAGTGCTCCATAGGCATCGGCTGCTCAGGGAGGGAGTGTGTATGATCAGGATTGGGGGTTTTAAGTAATGGGCACCATGACAGAGCAAGAAAGAAAGAAATAACTACCTCAAATTGACGCTATAGCTTTCATTGTCCGAGTGTTTGGCCAGAATCTTTTTTTTTTTTTTTTTTTGCTGGTCTTGGTTAAGTACAGATTTGTCATGACAACCTGTTAGCAACATGCTCATCTTTGCTATGGATCAACTTATAGTGCTTAAGGGGGTAAAGAGTACACAGCGCAAGTGTGTTGGGGGGGAGAGGGAAAAGGGCGGGTTAGGGGAAGATAACAAAAAAGAAAAAAAAAGAAAAAGAGGGATAACAAATGGGTAGGAGAGAAGGCAGAAAAAGAAAAACAAAGTAACTACCAACTAGGACTGGAAGTAGTGTGAAATGCAACAGGGTGGTAAGGGTGAGCTGCTAGGTGGCTGGGTACAGGCTGCTTTAGTATCCGGACTTCCTCAGGTATTCAGCCATCTGAAAAGCTTTCTTGTTGAGCTGCCCTCCATGGACACCTTCCTTCCCCATGACAAAAACCAATGCTGGAGTACACAAAGGAAAAAAAACAAAATAAATGAATAGACATGGTGATAGCAGGGCTGGAAAAGAATTTTTTTTTTTTTTTTTTTTTTTTTTTTTAAATATATTGTCACCTTGCTAAATGTGGGGCTACATTGTTGAGGACAGAGCCTGAACCCTGCACTGTGTTAGAAATGCTCCTGGGATTTTGTTTAATTGGACTGTCCGGGGGAAAAAATGGGTTTGACAGCAATTTGTTTTTTTTTTTTGTCTATTTTTTTTGAAGTTTTGTGTTTTTTGTTTGCCTTTTCATTTGTTTTTCTCTCTCCCTCAACTATGCCACATAAGCTACGTCAAAACTAAACTAAAACCCTGAATCCCTCAAGTATTTTGCCATCGAGTATGCCTTCTTATTCAATCCGCCTCCATGGACCCCTTCTTTGCCCATTACCAAGACCAAGACTGAAAGAAAAGAGACAGAAAGGACATTTAGAGAAGGTGTGGAGATCACACAAGTGAAAAGAGAAGAGCACAGAGCCAAAAGCAGCAGGCAGACGAGACAGTTACGAAGGAGGACGATGGCACAAAAAGCACAGCAGCGCCTTTGGTCTGAAGGCTGTATTGAGCCTAAACATTCATTTTCTCATCAGTGCTGCTGGTGGTGAAACAACATGACATGTCACATTACAATTAGGAAGACAGAAAGTGAGTACAGCAGGAGAATAAATGTAAGGGATGCATGCAAAGCTGTTTGTCAGTGTGCAGATCTGTAAGCTTGCTTCAACATCTACTGGTTTCCACTGAGTTGTTGTAAGATTTTATTAACTAATAAAACTAAAATCCATTTTCCATATCAGCATGCCATGGCCTCACAGAAACAATCACTATTGCGCCAAATCAATTACAATTAGACAAGCCACTGCAGAGTTTGGAAAAAGGCCAGGTTTATATACATAATATTGCACTTTTAATTCTTAGGAACATGTCAGAACCAACTTGCTTTTAAATTCTCTGAAAAGCAATAATTAGTAAATATGAAGTTTAGATAACAGATAGGCCAGACACTGATTTCACGTCTTAAAATCTGTTATACATTGTTTTTCAAATTCTGTCCAGCATATTATTGCCACAGCTGTTTGATCATGTTCACATAATCTCTCAAAACCTTATGTGAAGTCTCTTCTGACAGAACAAATTATAACCCCAATATCATCACGCTGCATCTATAATGATGTATTTGGTCTGAAATATCTTGCCAATACACCCCTGGCACAATTTCAACCTAGATGGGAGGGATTGTATTTACTAGGCCACATGGCTGCCAAATCAGATACTTTGACCATCTGTGTTACTTTAGTACCAAACAATACCTGGTTGCTTGTCTCAAGTGGCTGGAGGTGTAGTGTCCCTGCAATTACTACTGAGTTTACTGCACTGCACTCCACTTGAGGACACTAGTCTTTATTGTTTCATCTGCAATCAATATGTATCATGCCAGCAGCAAAGAATAAGAAAGTGAAGCTTCTACTGACTACTAACAACCATCACTAATGCAGCACACATGCGGATACAGCAGCATGCTTGTGGTACCTCTCCTCAATACATGTAAGAGCCCTAAAGTGCCTCAATACTTATTTTACCAGAAACAGAGTGGAAGCACGTGAGCAGGGAACAGATTCATACTTTGTGGGTAAGGGGGGAGGGGGTGTTAACCAGGAAGGAGAAAGATGCATGCAGTTTAGGAAGTTTAGAAAATCCTGGCTCCATGAGTGAGCCCAGTGTGTGTAGAACAATAACCAGATACAGTCTCACCTGTAAGTTTTAGTGGTGTCTGGGAAAAGTGGGGAGGACGTGGCATTGGGGCCCATACAGGCAACATGAAAACTGGCACAACTCTCAGGCAGGTCCCTAAAAGGGACTCAACTTCACTTTACTAACATGGTATCAATTCTTGTATGATACAAGCAGAATTCATCATCCGTACTGTAAGAAGGGCCGTCACCTTCAACATATCACATTTTACTATTGTCAGCTTAGTGCATTTAAAGCTTTTTTTTTTTTTCCCTTTTTGGTTTTTAAAATTTTTTTTTTTTTTTTTTTTTTTTTTTTTTTTTTAAAACTTTAGATATCTATGCTTTTAAATATCAGGAAAATTCACACTATTTATGAATCAATTAGATGGGATATCCACTAATTACATCATTTTATACATTTAGTTTGAGCATTATATTAAAAAAACAACTCAGCCTTTAAATAGCAATCCACAAGTGAGTTGTGATCTCTGTGGGGAAGGGGTTCAGCTATGCAGTGCGCAAATCATGTGCCCTCTTTATTGTTGTTCTGGCTGACAAGCATCTAGTCTGTGAAAGTTACAGCCAACTGATACATCCATTTTACTCAATCACTTTTTGCTGTTGGATTAGAAACTACTTTAGGTATGCAACATCAATTCCCAAATAGTATAAGGCAATTTTCAAACTAACACCATAAATCTTATTGCAATACATGGTTGTTCAGTGGAATCTGTTAGATAGAATAAATCAGATAAAAGCGTGAGTTAAAAATGTGAAAACAGAATTGGGTGACAAGGGCTCCACATATGCTAGGAGCCAGTAACAAACATCAGGCAGATATTAAAGAGGGGAAAGTAATAAATTGTCTTTGGTTTGAGATTTGTTTACCTAAGATGTCAAGTTTTCCCTAAAACTGCTTACCTTTTACAAAATGTAAAAATCACCCACAACTGACAGTATCAGCATAGAAGAATTTGACTTTAACACTTAACCTATACCCTGATCTAATAAACCTCTAGATATGAACTTGCCCTTCAGCTTTAAAAACAACCTGCCTGCATATTTCTACAGATCACATTTAGCCGAGATACACTTGCTCCCCCTAATAAATAAGCTGACATTCAAAGTTAATATCCTTACAGTTTAACACCTGTGTTTGGCATATATTGAGGAAAGGTGCATTTGAAAATCTATCCCACATGCATGGACAACACGGAAGTTATAAAAAATAGCTAAACTAATGGCACTATATCAAAGCAGGCTAAGGTGTCACTGTAGCACTACTAAAATGTATGCGGCTAACAACAACACTGAATGTCATGCTCACCTTTGCCGGCTCTGCCTACAGAAACGTTGTATGTTGGCTCTCCTCCTTGACTCTTTGTCCGGATGTCCATTGTCCAGTCGCATTCAATTTGGAGGCTGTCTCTGATTACGGAGCACTTTTTATTGCCTAAGGTCAGCCCACTGGTGAAGAATCCCTCCCGGTCCTTTCCTATCACCACATCGATTTCGTCGGGCTAGAACAAATCACAAAAGCAAGTTGTCAGGTCAGTTGTCATCTGCCAAGCTGGATATCAATCCATTCAGCTAGAGATACTCTTTTCCAGTTTTCCTCAGAGGTTGATTGTGGGTGTATTCCCTGCTCTTGTTGAGCCCAATTCTCATCTTGCTCCAAATGTGGGTGTTTTGAAGCCTTTTGGGACCGATTAGGTGCTACTCTATTAAACATTTTAATTTCTTCGCCTCTTTTCCTCCTAAAGCAATTACTTACAGCACCGTTGAGTTTCTGCATAATTTATTGAGCAACAAAATTTTAGAAAAAATTTGGAATTTCAAAATGTATTATCTTATACTGAGAACTCATGTATACTGATGTAGTATTTTTAAACAAATCAAAAGCAGTAAAATTCTTTCAGTAGTTTTCATTTTGACAACAAAAACCGAACTGAAAATTAGTAAATGCCATTATCCCACAACAAATATAAAACTATAACTTAAAACACCTTCAATAAAGAAAAGTTATTAGTCTGCTCCCTTGGCTAATCTGATAACACAAGACCATAACACCACACTCACACACAGAACAAGACAGCTCACCTGCAGCCATCTAGTATGGCTTTAACATGCATTACAAGGTTGCATACTGTCTGGTGTGGCATCCACATGGTGGATTCAATATCAGAAATTGATCACCGTGAGGATGAACCATAATGTTTAATTGTGATTGGCTTTGGGGTACAAGCGTACAAATATTATAGAAAATATATTACTTTCCTTTATCTGAAAAGACATGAAAAACTTAAGAGACCATGTTTTCAGATGGTATGAAGACTTCACTGAATTCATATATCCTTGCAGAATAATTATGGAGTAAACTGATGCTTCAGACAGCCTCTAGGGACAGTAATACTTGCAGACCAACTTTGAACTTCCCCCTCCTTATACTAGTTGCATGTAATTTTGGTAATCTAGGGCTCAAAGCATGTTCTGCTGCTGCACCTGTTTACAACACTCTACACTGGTGAAGCAGCCAAATGTGAAATGTTTAAAATGCATGTTTCATGAGCACCAACAGTGATAAAATTAAAAAACTAAATAAATCAAAGCCCCATCCTCAAAAAAGGTACAAAAGTCCCCAGGTCTAATTTCATCTAAAATTAGATGTTTGCACAAATCAATAATTCTCCAAAAAAACTAGTACATTTTAGTTTGATGGGATGTTTTAGTCAAAGGCTGCTTCTGTAAATGGCCAAGATGGTAAGTATAGGTATGATGAATGCCAATTAAGAAATTGGGCTGCATGTATGATTAAGGGCTATGGTTATCAATATTTTATTATTTAATACCTGAAGCATTCAAATTCTTTACAAAGTTGGCTTTTTTTAGATTGCCAAAATAGTCCAAAGTTCTCAAATATCTGTGTCTAAAGACAACAATCTATCACTTCACATTAACTGATAAATAAAAAGATCTTTTAAAATGGCTTATGACTAAGTCTTGTCTTATGACTACTTGCTACTGAGTATTGAGAAAGAATATCCAGCCCTTGACAGATTTTTAAAAAAGTGCATAGTTTGTTTAAAGACATAGCTGTCTCTATTATACAATCAGTATCAAGTCCTAAAATCTCAGAGGCCCACTGCAGCTGGCAAAAACCATTATCCTCAGAAATTTCCTTTAAGGCATGACCTCTGCTAAAATTCCACTTTTTAAACCTTAAACATGTACAAAATGCATTTCACCACTGTCGTTATTTAAACATGTTTGTTAAATCGTTTTTTTTTTCTTTGAACCAATCTGCAGAACAAAAGGCGTCGCCCCTCAACTGTAGAACTGCACAGTCATGGCACACACGAAACCCTTCAGACAAAAAAAAGAAAAAAAAAAAGAAGGGGAAACTCTAACGGGCTCAGATAACATTAGCATGACGGCTAGCTACATGTCGGGGCCCGGTTGGCTAATTAATTACACCAACAGTTTTCCCTATTGGGATACAGTGTTCTATTCCCAAACGAAACTTGCACCGCAGTTCCATATACCATGTGTTAACTTGCTGCACTCCCTTGAAAGCCGATTTCGTTTTACCAAAATTTTAGTCACCGGGTTTGAACCAAACCAGGCTGGCTAACGCGAATAGTAAGCAGGCAATTGGCTTTGGCTCCACATTAGTTTTTTCCACATAGAAAAGATAAAAAATGTCCATTTGTTGAATTTGTTTCTTCATAGCATAACGATACCCTGCCTTAAGCCCCGAGAGGACACTCCCAAGTAATGTTAGCTATCAGCGGCACACTCGCTCATAGTTCATTTATCTGTAGCGTGGGTGATCATTTCGTCGTCAAAATGACTACAGGTTTGATACACTAACGCCACGACTCGCGCATTTACTTTCACACAAATATTTAAATTACTCACTAATAATTTATTTAACAGACAAAATGGAGGCTGAAGGAAGCGCCGGAGACGATTGTTTAGCCAAGTTATACTTTCATTGTTGCTGCAATCGTCTCATGTTTACGTACGGTATCTTAAAAACGTAATAAATCTGAAGTGTGTAGATCTGGACCGCTGGTGCATATTTTCACCGAGGACCAAACGGCTCGATTTGCACCCATGAACAAAATGAATAAGAAACTGGGAGTGTATCCGCCATCTTGGAAAATAAGGGGCGGTAGCGGCAGTGTGATTCACAGAAGCCGTATAGGAAAAAAACGAGACAGACCAGCAGCACGGCAGCATGCCTGGGACGCGTGTGAGCACCGTTCACACTGCGCTATTAGCGTTAGCTAATAAAGATTTTCCAGCAGGGATGACCGGCCTGATTTGAGCTAACCGCCAGCTGTAGTGTGCTAATCAATGTTAACATTAAGTAGCGGTGCTGGTAGACGTTGTCTGCTGAAATCACATACTATGAATTTGGTCTTTTAGACAAGGACGGCACAATACATGCGAAAATAAATTTAGTTTGGTAGTGGTTTAGATTGGATTCTTGAAATTTGCTATGCTTTCTGACCGGTAACACGAGCAAACACGGCTAGTTAACGCTAGCTTGCTTGCTAGCGATGCTATGTTAGCCCTTTTAGCTCGAGTTCGCGGTATCGTTCGTGACTGGCTTGGGCTTTTTCCGACTACTCTGGTGATTATTTCTAGAAATTAAAGACATGAGTCTACCGAGTGTATTAAATGTACTGGAAAGAGAAACAAAAACGCCACAGATTAGTGATAGATTGAAAAGCAGCAGTGCATACGTGCCAATGCATCTTGTGTGTGACCACCGGATACCATGTGTACCACACCGCTCGCCTTATCCTCATTCAACAAGGCCTGGCTATGCAGATAAACGCGCCGGCATGCAAAATGCACATTTTCCTTCAATCTAACCATAGATATTGTCGAACGAAGCGTACTAACCGTAATGTTGGCAAAGGTACCGCCGACAAACGATGCCCAGACGTATTTGGCGTCCGTGTACCCAACAATGGCCGCGTCCTGGCAGCTGCCATCAGCCATCAGGTTGTCCACGTAGCCTTGCCAGGACATGTTTGTGAAATTAGTTCTAAGATGAAAAAGTACGATGGGTCAAGTTGGGTCACAAACGTCTCTCGAGCGACGAAGACACTGTGAGGAAGCTGTATTTATCGGTGGTTTAACGGGCCTCCAGCAAGCAAAACCCCCCCGGCTCCGTCACGTCCCGGCTTTCTTCTGGACTAGGCAACGAAGAGAAGCCGCTGCAATCGGACAGGCGCTTGGGTGTAGTCCTTACTAAATCACTCCGCCTCAGTAGTTGTTCGCCTCGCTGCCTCATTGCATATTATACTACGTGGCGGAGGAATACATCATGCTTGATCACGATGGCAATAAGCAAGACAGACTATTTTTTCTTCAGTGACTCAAAGATTTGTTTTCAGCTTGCCAATTATTTATATTTTCTTGTGACCATTTTATTTTGTTGAGGTTAAACCTATCAAAACAGTTTTAAAGTTGCAAAGCAGAATTTAGTCATTGTTTCATGATCATATAAATCTACAAGATTTATTTTTTAAGGCAAATTGGTGCAATGTATATAATTAAAAGGTAAAATAGTTTTAAAGACACAATTTACATACATTTTTTACCTCCTGAGTCACATTAGCTACCACCTCTTTTCTTAAGCACTAAATCATGGGCCATTTACAATATCTTCACACCACAATGCAATTTCATCTTGTTCTTGATGTGTCAACCACAGGCCTTTTTCATCAGCTGGCTTCTTTCTCCAAGGACACAATTTTCAGTCTTGGCCAAATCCTTATCTATGGTGGATTTTTTCCTTTTCATATGACAGGTCAACATTTATTAGGGTCACTGCATCATGCACTGAAAGTGGAAAAAAGCAAGGGAAACATACAAAAAGGTCAGTAGGTCATCACAAGGTAAAAGTCTTATACAGTCCATGGGTAAGGTAATCACACTCATTTAGGCGAATGAGCAATTATGGATCTCCATTACATATGGCCTAAATGTCTTTGGATACTGGGAGAAATCCTGCTGTAACTTAATATAAACTTGAAACATGGTTATGATCAAACTAGTATTTTATAATCCATAAAGAACAGTCATAATGTGTGAAATTCTCTGAGGCTGCCATCACCATTGTGTTGTAGAGAGAAGCTGTATTTCCATATATGTGTGTACGTTTACATTTTAAGCATAGCTTATTCTGCAGAATAAACAGCAGGGATGTGGTTTATTCACAACCCCTCCCCTCCCCTATGAGTTACCCACAATTTTAGTCTGGGATATATCATTCTAATTCACAGTCCTGATGTACATTATAACAAGTGTTACTAAACTGGTGAATAACTGTAGGATTGTATGGTGGCAGGGCCTCTTTTAGGAGAAATTCATTCTTTTCTGGAAATAAATTTGGTATTATGTAAAGAGGATAAAAGGCATTTGGCATTTGCTTTATTCATTAAAGACAAAAATATGCATGCTATCAGCACCACAAACAAACTATGATGTATACTACTGCATACATACAATTACAGTGTTTTTGGACAAGAATGAAACAAGATTATGGGGGATTTCAGAACTAAAGGTGCAAACAGCCTCTCGGTATGTGCTGTCCTATTTCAAGTACATGATCATCACAACAGTCATTGATGAGCTGGTTAAACCTGTAGAAGTGCTGCAACTTGCTCAAGGGCACCTTGGTAGGACACATATGTACATTTGTCTGCTGTGGAATCAAACCTACCAGGCTACCATGTACTGTATTTATCTGTGTTTGTGTTTGTTCCATGGAAACCATTAATAAGGTAATCACATGACTTTTTATGATGTCTCGCTGTTCTCCCCTCATCAGTGTGTACTAACTGTGAAATTAGCAGAATACAAAGACTGACTGTAAACGCTTCAGCTTTAACTGAAAAACTGTAAAATACTTTATCTGATATGTATCTGAAAAGCTCCAGAGCTTTTCTTATTTTGGTAACTTATGACTGTAACGGCCATTTTCTCTCCTCTTCAAAGTACCGGGGCTCTTTTTCAACTCTATGCACCGTTGTTCACTGTATAGCACACTTTCACACCCTGGGAGCCACTTGCAGTGAGCAGGTGTAGAGGAACAAATACAGTTTAAGCACTGCTCAATGGCATATCAAGCGCTGTTAAGGAGCATGTGAAGAGCATTAATCAGTGACTTTCACCTCAATGAAATGACGCACATGAGAAATAGACATGCTCAAAGCCTTATGGAGTAATAATATTGGAAAAATGCAGGGTAAACGCTTTCAAACACTTGGAAAAGTGAACTTGAATCAATCTGCTGACTTTGGATACAACCAAAAATCTAACAAGGGGCAACTCATTTACACTTAGACTTGTGTAAAATTATTGTAAGTGTGAACAATTGCCAAGGGAAATTTCTGAACTTCTGAGCTTGAGTCAGTTCATATTGCCAGGTACTGTATTGGTTATGTTTTTTCATTTCTTTTCCCCACATATACAGCTTCTTTCATCTGATTCTTTTTGAAGCCCTATATCATGTGACAGGTTTATCTTTATCCAGAAACTTCCAGTGAATTCTTTCTCTCTCTGCCTGCAAAGGCATGAGTGCAGAAAAAGTTATTAATTGACCAGGCTGAAGGAACTGAGCGGGACAGTAACACTTGTCCATCAGCCAGCCACACCCATATACTATTCTCCCATTGGATGCCGTCAGTTTCCATGGCCACCTCTGTTTTTGCACTTCTGCTCTGTCAAAATAGTACCACACACAGCCAAACCACTCAGCCTGCACATGAGTCATGGAGATATAGAAAAGAACGTACTTGTTTGCTTTAGAAAAAGGCTTGGTTTTGCACAAGGCCATTAGCACTGTGTATTGTCATTATAACAGCTGGATAGCACAGAGATAAACACAGCAAGTGTGACTTCATCTTTTTTTTTTTCTTTGCAGATGCACGGATTGGTTATTTTTCCATGCATGGTATGATCTCAAGGTACAGTGTTTAGTGATCAGTGTATGGGATAGTTTAAATGGTGTTTTGCATTCTGAGAGGGAAAGTGGGTAAACAGGTCAAAGCTAAGTCTAAATTGGACCCATTTGGACTGAACTAACTGGAAACAAATGCTCAGCGGGCAGATGCATGTATCATGTGTCTGCAACTGATTTACAACTTTAGGTTGCCTGGAGGCACTTTATCCTTTCTTCCATATTTCTTGCCTCTATATACAGATATTTGTAATGAAGTAGAAAACCTTCAGACTACAAGGAAGTGAAGGGTTTTGACAGCAGAACTACCAGAGCTTTTGTATTGAAGCTGCTGACAGCCGGTATTGTTTGTCTTTATGGCCTGCGACTCCATAAAACAAGACCTGCATACTTGTGAGCCCCTGTCACAAGCTGCATATGAAGAGTGGTGAGCAGTTCAGTGAACAAATACTTTCCACTTTTCAGGCTGTTTGATTTGAGAAATTATTGGAGGAAGACAAGAGGCTGAAATGTGAAAACATTTCTCAATTTTGAATGTGGTTGGAAAAATGTTTTCTGTGAGTTTCTGACCCCTACAAGTCTAAAACCACTAAGCTAAAAGCTAAGTATATGTATTTATATACTCAGTGTTCTTGAATGCTAAGTCTGGCAATATTGTATCTTGTAATATTGCATTTTTATATCAACTCAATTGGTCACTATTGAGTGTTTCCATCAGCAGGAAGTGGGGTTGGCTAAAATGAACTATGTCTATTGTAATGAAGGAACACGACAAAGCATGCAAAGGTGTGGCACAGAAAAATATTATGTATATTGGACTTTGGTGTCACAGACAACAGGGTATGTCTTTGTAGGATCTGTTGCTGGGTTTGGTCTTTTTATGTTTTTTTCAAATTGAGTAAATCACTAGACCAGTGTCTAGACGTAGTGTTAGTTTAAGGCACAATGTGAGGTCTTTGTCAGATAGTAATATGTATGTACTGTAGCTGCAGAGTCATTTCGATATTTCTTAGTGTTTACATAAGGCCATCTCACCCTCATCCTGGGTCTAATTACACTGAGTATAAGAGTAGAATAAGCTTTTATTCTAAGTTGGTCAATATTAAAAGCAGCCAACAGGAAAGCGGTCAAGTGTCAGAGCCACAGCTGCCTGGCAGGGTGTGAGGTTACTGAAGTTATTAGTCTGCAGTCCATATTTTAACCCGGACCCTGCAGGAGGCTCTGCTTTGTCTTTCATAGCTGGAACACAATTCAGGCCATTTTGTTCACCTCAATTGGACAAAATTATTAATTCATGAGCCCAGTTCACCCTTAATCTTGCATTGCAGTAGAAGAAGTAGACCTATTTTTAACTTAAACAGATCGAGGCTCTCAAAGGTTGATATGCTTTGGTGTATTTTTAATAAGATGTATCACTAAATAAATGTATTTCTTTGACACGTGACTTGGGATGGGATTCCATTCCTTTCTGGATGGGCTTGGGTGCAGTGAATTAAATATTGAGCAGCAGCAGGTAGCGAAGGTGGAGCAGTGGCGCTGCTCTGTTCCAAGAAAATATCTCTTCTCTGCTCGCCAGGTCCTGGGTCTGTCACCCACAAAGGAAATCAATAGTAGCCAAGCCGTGGGGGAAACAAAGGATGCACACGTCCTCACCACTTGAGAGATACAGTATATTTGACAGATGATTTATCAGAAGCAGTTTCATTGGTTCTTTTCAAAACACATGTGATGGGTTTCCCTTCAAGAATGTTCATGAATGACATTTACTCAACGAGGTCAGGACAGAGCTGGAAAAATACCATTATCGTTCAATAACATATCTCTTGTCCATATCAACTGGGGATAAAACATGTGACAATCAGCTTGCATGGCTACAGCAACCTTTGCCCCCTGAGAAAGGTCAGCATGGGAGATCAAAGGTGGTCCATCTGCACGGCCATTCAGTCTGCATGTGTTAGTCACAGCGGGACACACAATGAGGCAGTCTTTTCAGAGGCGTGTACCCCTCCATCTGTGGAATTGATCAACGCTGCCATTGATCATGACTTCAACGTGTAGATGTCACACACATGCAAATTAACTCTGAAAAGCACACACTCACACACATTTTTTCATATGAATACACGCGTAATATGGGAGGTATGCAAACACATAGTTATGACACACACACGCCTACACACATGTGTGCGCGCACACAGACATACACAAACAAGGTGAGCTTATGTAAACTGTTGATGGCAGTGGGTTAGTTTGCAT